GGGTCAAATTAATACCGTACTAAACTTACTTCCATTTCCTCACACCGGGATCAGAAGATATTGTGTTCCAGATACGGAGAGAGAATAGACGTTGACTGTACATCGAACCTCAACTGTCTGCGTCCTTCCCAAGTCCCAGAGGCGCCATACTACAAGTACGTAAAGAAGGCTGCTATAAACACTTTTTCATTACGATGATAGAATATTGCATAACAAGCTGCATTGAAATGTATCAGTGCCTCACTCAGTATTTGTGAATACAGTCCAAAGCGACTGAGATCAGGATCCAAGAAGCCAGCTGCATTCCTCAGCTCACCCTTTTTTCTCTAACGTGTTTGCAGAGGATTCTCTTTGTAAAAATCGTCCAACTACGTACGTTGGAGCTGCAAACCCTCTATTGATGAAAGGCCAAACATGAACTGCTACTATAATAAATGCAGAGGACTGATACTTGCTATAGCGCATCGTCTCTGTAGGGTTTTTTCCCCACTTTGTTGAATTTTTTGCTTTCCTTCATGTTAGTGGGTGGTTCGCGGGTGCTCTGGTGTGGTGTGCTTCTTCTTTCCTATCAAACATCTATCGTCCTTATCTCCCCTTCTTCTTTTTTATGTTTGTTACTCTCTTAAAATTGCCTACCAACTGAAAAAGTTTAATGAGTCCCGCGCGCTCATTTGACCTTATGCAGTTGCGAGCGCCGTAAAACACTTACCAAAAAAATAATAATAATTGTTAATAAATACCTTCACGTTAACCCTACTACTGGTCTAGGAAAGTCATTGCTCCGCCTTCAAGATTTCCTCTTTGTTTTAAGAATAGCGTTATTTATAAGCAGAATTGATGTTTAGAATTTCTGTTAATGATATATCATAGGCCTACTAAAGAACTGCGTTAACTTTCTTAGGACGTAGAGGCCACATTATGATCGATCAGCAGCAGATCGAAAGCAATGCTGTGGCATATTTTTCCCAACCACCGTACACAAATCAGAAACACATTTACATACTGGTTTATTTTTTCGGACACACAATGCGGAAAAAGCATTGGAGAATATTGGAACAACAGGCAAGTTTGATGGAAAGAGAGGCAGAGGCAGACGGAGGGAAAAGATGCTGGACAAGATGACAACATGGCTAGGAGCAGCAAGAACAGACACCATTGCTGCAACGCAAGACAGAGTGAAGTGGAGGGTCCATGATCGCCCACGCCAGTTGGCAAGGCACCAGATGATGATGATGATTTTTAGAAAGCATGTTGTTGCCTGGCTTTTCAAGTTTCAGATAAAGACAACAGTTGAAGAATATGCATGAATAACGAAGTCCTGCTTCTATTTTTAAAAGTGTCTAGGGGGGAAAAAGAAAAAAGGCGCGCCTTCAGGTCTTGTTGAATGTGCAGAACGCAGGTCCTCAGTCCTCAGTCCTCATTGAGTTTTAGTATCTGCGTCTTCATTTCTACCTTCTTCATTAGTCAAATTCTGGCCAAGGGAGGCAATCCAACAAAATTTAACATTCTTCCCAAAAATTCAATTGCTTTCCCTTATGCTCTGAACAGTGTCACCATTACCTTTTGCTCCATATACACGATGCCATTTCGGTTACAACTACCTTCGTTGTTGTGCTGACAGTTAAATGTTTTTCGTCCTCGTTGATACTGTTCACATTGTTTAGGAGAGCTGGTTGTTTCGCCCCCACCTGTCAGGATTAGCCCTGGCAGTACTCGGTACTCGGTATCTCAGCAGAAAGGTGTAACGATCCATGTACCTGATTTTAACTGACTTTTCACCACGGGAATCAAACTCATGTCTTTTGAGTGCAACGTCAAAGTGCCTACCTTTACACCCCAGACAATGAATGATCCCTATTTTTGTGAGCTGGAAGGGGGGGGGGTGACCTGCAGGAAAAATATTATTTCTGAGCAGTGATTGAGTCATTATTTATTTTTGTTGCTGTTGATGTAGCCGGTGCTGTTGTTGTTGTTGTTGTTGTTGTTGTTGTTGTTGTTGTTGTTGTCGTTGTTGTTGTTGTTGTTGTTGTTGTTGTTGCTGTTGTTGCTGTTGCTATTGTTGTTGTTGATGTTATTGTTGTTGTTGTTGCTGCTGTTGCTGTTGCTGTTGCTGTTGTTGCTGTTGTTGTTGTTGCTGTTGCTGTTGTTGCTGTTGCTGTTCTTGTCGCTGTTGTTTTTATTGCTGTTGTTGTTGTTGTTGCTGCTGCTGTCGCTGCTGCTGCTGTTGGTGGAAGGTTGCCTCTAACAAAAAATGAATATAGAAGAGACATAACAGAGGATGGCTCTGTAACTGCATAGAATTTTTTGTCAGTGGGTTATCATCCTCACGTTACACATGTGGGCCAAACTGCAGTTTCACTTCTCAGTGCACGGCCCTTATAGTTTATACTTCGCAGACATCACAGATGTTATCATTCTCGTTGAACTAGAAGAATCTATGTTTGGCGGTTTGCTTTTTATATGTATGAGTTTAATTTATGTGGGTTTTTTTCGGGGGTGCTGGGTTCTCTTTTATTTTTTCTAGATAGATTCGAGAGACTAGCATCTGTTGTGTAATGACTACGCTTTCCTCCTTATACAAATTAATACAACGTACTTTTTTTTTTTAATTTGTTCTGTTGTTTCTGTCTGTTTAACTTACCCCTTTCCCTAAATATGACCACTTTTGTGTCGATTTGTTTCCTTTTATCATGAGTTGGGTAGATCAATTAGAAGTACAACATTTAGAAGACAGAAAAGAAAAACGTCTCACCATCAACACCTTCTATCTACCTGTATTTAAAACTTCAGCCAACTGGCGCGGGATGTGACAGTACTGTAGTAGTGTAGTTTTGTCAAGAGCAGTCATTGATCAACAACTTGTCCTATTCAAGTGCTTCTTTGTCTTAATAAAGAACTTCGCCCTGGTTTGTGCGCGGAAAGGTGGGCTGGGGGGGGGGGGGGGGGGGGGTAATGGGCAAACATTATAGTACATTTAGTATCTCTCGGAGTGAGTGGAGTCAACATTTTTTTGCTGACACTTGGACTTGTTCATTGGAGTCTTCGAAAATAAAGTTGTAGTAGATGTGTGGTGGCGTGAATGACGACGTCTGTGGTGAATAGAGAACGAAAAAAGTGAAAAGAAGTAAAGACAGGGGGAATTACAGAAAAGAAATAAGAAAGGAAAAAGGGAGAGAGAAAGAAAGAAAAGAATTGGGGGGAAAGGAGAGATAAGAAATTTAAAAGAGAAAAGAGAGAAAAGATGGGAGAAAATACATTTTTTTTAAAGAAAAGAGAATAGACCAAAAAGAGAGAAAAGAGAGAAAGAGAATAACCGAAAACGATACAAACAATGATAGTCTTCACCCTGGCCCCTTTTTCTGTCCCATAGTGTTCTGCTTGACAACAAAATCCTGACCTTTTTGGTACACACTGGCATCACAAGTACACACACACACACACACACACACACACACACACACACACACACACACACACACACACACACACACACACACACACACACACACACACACACACACACACACACACACACACACACACACACACACACACACATATATATATATATATATATATATATATATATAATATATATATATATTTATATATATATATTTATATATTTATATATTATGCATATTATACACACATACACACACACACACGAGAGAGAGGGAGAGAGAGAGAGAGAGAGAGAGAGAGAGAGAGAGAGAGAGAGAGAGAGAGAGAGAGAGAGAGAGAGAGAGAGAGAGAGAGAGAGAGATTTTGAACAGTGAGTACCAAAGTTCAGTAGCCTACGTTTCTTCCACCAGAGTAGCTTACGTATTTTTAACTGTTTAAGCAGGATAATGAAAGCTGCTGTTTTGACCTTTGTTCTCCTGTAGTTGGCAAATCCCTTGAAAAGTGGCAATGCGTGTTTAGTTAGGGCAAACAGAATGCTCAACTCCAACACCAGAGATGTGACGCATGAAAGGGGGGGGGGGGGGGGTGGACGCGGTACTGGTGGAGCCGCGGAGCATCAGGCGGCTCGGAATGCCAAAAAGAAAGTGTGTAACTACCTACCTACCCCCCCCCTAAAAAAAGAAAAAATACCCCACAATAAGATATAATGAGTCCTTTGTGGTAATTTTTCTCATTCCCGCAAACAGGTTGTTTGACAATAAAAGTATTATCATTAATTCCACTTTGTCTTCAGTCTGTACGTGTTGCCGGATAGCTTGCGACTTGCAGCTCACGATTTCAAAGGTAAGTTTACTATTCTGTATATCTTGTAAAATATCTAGAATAATAAGAAGGAGGTAGAAGTATAATATTATCTTTCTTTCGGGCTATTTCTCTTCTTTTTTTTTCTCCACTATACGATACGAGGTACATCCTTCATGTACCTGGACTTGCCCAATGGTTTGTCATGGTTGTCTCCCCTATTTATGTTTCGTTTCGCAGCAATTTCTATGGCCGCTTAGCTTTTTTTATCCACCAACAGGTGGCGTAACACGGGATATTGTTATGTTGTTTAGTGTTTAGCAATGGCGACGAATCCTCCTTCCGTCGATGAGACTCAGGAAAAACCAAAGTCTAAACGACCTAAAGGTAGGAAGAGCGCTTATTTTAGTGTGTTTCTTTTGCCAGGGAGAATAAATATGTGCTAGGGAGAATCGGGAAAATATATTTCGGAACCAAATCTAAAATATTTCGTGGTTAGAATTTACTTCCGATTTCGCAAGAACCAAACTTGAGCTTTCTTCCATTGGAATTACCCACGACCAGAACCACTGATTGTACTGACAACTCGCACTTGGGTTTTGTACCTATTCTTGGATCCAGACACTGTTATTTGTTACTCATTATAACACCACTAGGTAAGATTGTACTTTACCGGACCACCGGTCGGAAGTCGGAACTACTTTCGCTGTGGCGCCCCTGGTGCCTAGTGGCCCGCTGTTCTTCGTTTCCGAGCTCCCCTACCTACTCACTCTCCTACTCAGTTTTCTACGTCCACACTCTTCAACTGCCAGCAATCGACTGCCGTCTCTTACCGGGTTTTTCAGTCATCACGACCGTGCCACTGTGCCCTTTGACCCATGACCCTGACACCTTGAGGCTAATTGGTCAATCTAATCACGTGGTCCACTATACTATTCTTATTTGCTCGCGACTGCTGGCTTGGCCTAGGCAGCGGAGGCCTACTCCTGGTCCGGCAAAGTACAATGGAGGGCTAGAGATGCGCAAGAGAGCTCATTTGCATAAATTGCAACCCCATTGGCCCTGCTCGCGACTTATCATGCTATTGTTTATAATATGTGTGTGTGAGTGTCTTTAAATTATGGC